ATTTTAACTCAGTAAAATATTTAATAGCTCTTACTTTGAATTTTACAACTTTTAAAATAATTTTATTGAAAAATTAGAATGAATTAAATTCTTTTTTTAATTAAGAGAGAAAGAATAAAAAGATAATTATTGCACTCCATTTGTTCAAATTTTATTTAAAAAAAGATGACCTCCAAAACTTCATCATTTTTCATTATGATTTTTTTTTCTTTCTTTTTCTTGTTTTAATAACTTATCACTTTACATTTTTGAATTATAATAAATTTTAATTTTTAATTCGTTTTATCGTTTTTTATTTTTACAATTCTAATATGGAAATTTTTAATTTCTTTTTTTCTCCCGCCTGTATGTTGTTATTTCTCATACTTATTTTCTTAAGTGTATTAGTGTTCATGCATGTTGTACAGTCGTTCCACACTTTTGTACACATACGTTTAAAAAAAAGCACATAAATTTTGATATACGCTTAAAGAAAACGTTCTCTTTTTTAATGGTTAATGTATAAAAATTAATTTTATTTTTTATTACTCCAAAAAAAAATCTTATTCGTTTTTTTTGGAATTTTTTTGTTTTTTTTTTTTATCATTACTTACAATCTTAATATATGTTTTTTATGCTGTCAAAATAACAATTTCTTTTTTTAAAAAGTTTATTACATTTAAGAAGAGGCAACATAGTGTGTCATAAATGTATCGCATTTTTTTCGATTAAAAATCTTATGTAATTAACGGATTAAACTTAAAACATTAACTCATAAAATGCATAATATAAGGCGGATAAAGGCCATGGAATATTTTCAGTTATAGATGAAAGTTGTTCATAACAATTAAATTTAAAAAAATCTAGGAGAAATGAAAAAAAAGCTAGAACTTTCCATAAGACTTTACAATCAGAGCATTTTTCCGTATGGAAATTGTGTTATACAAAAAAAAATCCTCTTACGAATATAAATTTTATATATCAAAAGTTTTGAAATATATAAAGCCATCCATTTACTAGAATAAATTAGCATAAAAGATCTTCCCTTCCTTTATTGAAACAATTTGTCTTAATTGTCTAATAAAATGTCTAAGAACACAACCAACAACTAAATTTACTAATTTAATTTAATTTTAATGATTACTAAAGGCACTGGCAAATAAGAAATTTAGTTTTGCAACTGCTTGATTGCTTATCATACACCATAAATGTAAATTCAAACGCACACGCATGCAACTGTATGATTGTCTCCGAAAGCAATCAAACAGTTTTTAAATATTTTATAAACTGATTGCAATTTTTAACGCAATAGATTTCAATTGACAGCATAGTTTAGTTGCTTAGATGTGCTCATAACGATTCTACAATCAAGCAGCAATTTCAAAATCTGAAAATTGCATGTCTACCTGGGCCTTAAATATAATTTTGTTCCTTATAATGAATTTGTATTTATACTTTTTATACATACTGTAGAAATTTAGTAAAAAATTTTAAAGAGATTCTCTAAAAATGCATATTTATCACATACTTTTTTTTAGTGGGTTTGCTTTTTATGTACATTATAAAATCGCAATTCCGTATTCATTAGTGAATTTTTCGCTTTTTTTTTTTGTTTTTTGGGGTTTCTGTGTTTTTTATTTTGCCTCGTATTCGTATACAAATTTATGATTCCTGGTAAACGAAAATTCTCTCTCCCTTAAAGTGTAAATGAGAGAAAAAATATCAAAATTTAAATATGAAAGAAAAGGAATTAAAATTAAAAAGAAAAAAATTCGTGTCACTTTTCTACACACGACGATAATAAAAAGACAAATTAAAGCCATTCAAAAAGGAAAAAATAAAATGATGTGTGCGGTGATGCTCATCATTATGACAGTCTATATCTCATATTATATCCCTATGTTATTATTGCATATACGAAAACACTAAAGTAATATTTTGTGTAGGTTTGTATGGAATCTACCTCGTCTTTAAACAGGATTGCCATCTAAGACAATTGAAGTCGAAAATATAAAGTAAAACATTAAAATAAGAAGAAAAAAATAACTATATTATTGAACTAGGTTCTTGTTATTTACTGGAAATTTTCCTATTTGCAATTTTAACATAGAATGTTCAAAGACTTGCCGAAATAATTTTCGAGATGATTGTATGTACCCTTTTGGTATTTTTGTACACAGCAGCAATAGAAAGTATTTTCGAAGTCGTAAAGTATCTGTATTCTTGCTCAGAAACGAATTCTAGGTCAATCTAGTTATGTTTGGCCCTCTGTCTATTCTATCTGTTATTAAAATACTCTCTTGAAAATCGAGAGAACTGGATACACAAAATTTAGCATTTATTATTAATATTATTAACAATGATTAAAATTGATTACGGTAATGACTTTGAAAAACTTCAGAGGAAATGTCGTTCAAAAATCTCTTGAAAAGTATTAGAATAAGTTCCTTGAAATTCCTTAAAGTTGAAGAACGTTTCCTAAAATTGCTTTTGGAATGGTTTATATTAATAAATGATCGACAATTTAATTATGTTTGAAATGTGTATTTCAAATTTTTTCGAACTTACATAATTATGTTTGTAAAGATCGTTTGCCTTTTTGATTTCAGATAAGGAGAAATTATTATTGGACATGAATGGCAATCTTATATCTGTAATTGAAAATTCAAATTAAGTCCAAGTCAAAATAAATGGGGCAATGAAATTATTTAATATTACTTACGTATCTTATACATATATACAAAATCTATGTAGCTATAAATATCTACAAGAATATGCGATTGTTCTCAGGCAAGATGTGTGATTGCCTGTCAATGTTCTTATGCTTTTGCGTATATGTATATATGGATGTGTAATAAATGAAAATGACGATTTTAGTTGTTCTTTCCTTTTTTGCGGCACTCATTTTACATTCTTTTTTTCTTTTTATCTTTTTTATTCTTATGTGTATTACTTGTTTTTTTTTATGACTTCTAACATGTGTGTACCGTGTATGAATTACTGTGCTCTTGTATGTTTATATGCATGTCATACATGTATTTTTAGATGTTATTTTTTTTATACTTAATTTTTTTTATTTTATTATGTATTTTATTCGCATAATGTTTCACTTACAACAGCAATAAAAACCAAAAAATAAAAACTTTATGCTGAATGAATAAAATTTGCGATTTTTTTGACATTTTTATTTTTTTGAATATTTACCCATGAAGATTGTGAAAGTATGGTAGTACTGTCAACAAATTCAATTCTAAATGCAATAAAATGTCAATAAAGGAGTAAAGTGAAATTGTTATGAATTTTGAAGGTTTTTGATACAAAAACTAGTGATGTATTTTTGCCAAAATTAATTATACATAATATAGATTTTTTAATTATTGGAATTTTAGTTTGAATTTGACATTTTAATTGAACTCAAATTTGGTTTGAAATGATTTTAAACTTGTTTCAGTTTTAGGGTAAATTAGTTAACAATCTTCATAAATGTATTCCAATGATGACAGTTTTTAGCTGCGGAATAGCTTCACACTTTAAATTTTTATTTTTTCAAATTAAAATATTTAAATTGAATACACATTTAATATTTATTTCTATACAATGTTGATACTTTCGTGAATATATATGTATACAAAACTTTTACTGTCCATTCCTTTTTTATTACCATACAAACTGTATTCGAAGAGCGTCTTAAATTTGATATTTCGTTCGTAATATACAGGAAAAAAGGGCTAAATACTGTGTAATTTTGACTATAAACGTCAAATTTCGAAACTGTCCCAAACATTAATGTTATTTTTTATATATATCTTTAAAGGAGTTAAATAAAATTCCATACTCAGAAGACTTCATATCTAAATTTAATACAATTTTGAATTTTGACTATTAAAAAACAAAATCGGCGAAATTTAAATAACAAAACCCTGTACTTTTTTTTCAAACACTTAAGTACAGGCCCGAATTTATCAAAGTTCTAATTTTAATTTTAATTTAACTCCTAAATTTAAAACAATTAAAATTGAAAAATAAACTATGTATACTTTAAAGGTTCATTTTAATTCTTTGAGTTTATAGCGCAGAGAGTGTATAATAGCGGACTTGTGTTCGAAATTAATTTGACAATCACACTATTTTCCGTATAATGCGAAATTTTTTGGAGGAAGGTTCAATGCCAGTTGACGTTCTCACCAGCTTTCTCACTTAAATGGAGGCGCTCTCAAGCCATCTGACTTGTTCGATTCCTTGCTTTGTATAGGTCACCGTTCTGTTCTGTTCTATGGTTTGGAGAAATATTGCAATAAGTTTTTATTGCTGCAGTAATCTGATTAGTGGGTTAACCCCCATATTTATCTAGATATGTAACGTAATAGGATTTCTTACCTCAGAGTTGAATTATTCACTTTTATTTATATCAATACTTTTTTCATTTAAATTTTTTGGTACTTATTTTTGTTTTATTTTCTCTTGAAGTTTTTTACGGTCAAATATGGCAAGAATATAAATGAATTTACAAAGAAAGAGAGGGTATATTGAAATAAATAAGAAAAATTTTTTCAATTTATATTTAATTATTTTAATTTAAATATTTTATTGAATAAAAATTGCAACAAATTATTTTTTGATTGAATTTTTGGTACGTCTTCATTTTACTGGTTTTTAAAATTTGATTGAATTTATTTTTAAAATTTTATAATTAAGTATTAATTTTTAATTTTTCCTATAATATTTTTTAAATGTAAAGACAACATGGTCTCGAATATCAAATATTGTTCATAGATATTGTTTTTTGATGAGAATTGGATGACGTTGACATACAAATTTTGCATCAAATTTTTATTAAACCCTATAAAATGAAATGAACAAAATTTGATAGTGTAAACCCCTACCTTAATAATAACGGCTTAAGTACGATAATAATAATTTTTATATTGACAAAAATTTCTCTCTTTTTCTTAAGAATTTTAAGAAAAAAAAAATAAGAAAAACAAAAATTTAATAATTCTTTTTTTATATTCTCATTTCAGGTGAGTCATTTAATTCATGTACATACAACAATTTAATTTGCTATTCAAAAACGAAAAACAAAATTTAATTTTTTTAATTTAAGAAAGAAATGAGTAAGTTATGAGATCATTTAATAAATTTTCTCTTATTTGTGATTCTTTTTTTTTTTTTATTATTATAAAATATTTTATCTGCATAATTAAATATTCAATATTTTTAAAATTTTATTTTTATTATAGATTATTTAAATTATAGATTTGTTTCTTTTTTCGTTCTTCTTAATATTTTAATAATTTACATTTTTTTTTATATTCTTTTGACGTCATTTAGATATTATCAATTTCTTAATATTTTTGAATATTTTTGAATTAAAATTTGTTATGATGTTTACAAAAAATGGTTTTACATTAACGTTAATATTCGAAGTTGAAATTATATTATTTTCTGCACTGTTTTAACAATCATAGCAATATCGTAGCAAAACACTGAATGCACTCAATATATGTTTCAATTTTCGGTCATTTCATAACTCACAATTCAAGATACCATGTTAATTAAGGCTCTAATAATTTATTTTAGTAAATAAAAATGTTTAAAAATTTTTTTTTGAAAATTTATTTCTTAAAATTTGAACTTCAAATGTTTCATAACACATGCACGAATCAAATTAAGATCTTTTAAAGATTGATAAAATTGCGATCCTTCCTTCCACTGAAATTAAAGAATCTTGACCTATAATGATCAATCGACGATTCTGATATCAATAACAAAAATCATCAACATACGATCGTCAAATCGTTATATATGAGAAGTACCATATATAATGTCTATTTGGAGACCCCAACATTTTAAAAATCTAAAAAATTTATCATTTGCAATTTCTATTTTATTGCAAGATTTATAACAAAAAGTATGAACAAATTTAATTTTTATTGTATGAACAATTTCACTTATAATAATAATAAATACATACTAATATTATTATTTATTATGTATTCATTTACTTCAATCATCAAATTTCATCTGATTGATATGGATTGTTAGCAAGCTACTATATAGTACACCCCATTAATTGGAGTACAGCAATGTGTGCAAATAATTAGGATAAATAAAACCATGCATGACTTTCTACTCCGATTCTAATTTTACACGTTTTGAATGAGTGATAAATTCTTCACGATTTAAATTCTCCATATTTTCATAAAAATTTCGGAATATTTTTTTGTCATAAATTAACTTTCTTCACAAAATTTTTCTATTTTTAAATACAATAATTTATTTTTACAAAAAATATTATTAATTTGAAAATTTAAAAGTGGTTGTTCCCCAAAAAAAATCTTTATAAATAATTTGGAAAAAAAAAGAAATAATAATCAAGAGAAATTAAACCTGTTTATAAAATTCTACAAGAAAAAAGTAAAAAATAAAGTAGATCCTTTTTTATATTCTTTCTTAAAAATAATAAGCTTTATACCGCTACCGATAAGTATATCACAAGAAATAAAATTTATAATACAGTTATAATCAAATACGGTATCATTTAATCTTAATTTAAAATTAATTTATTCACTAATTTAAATTTACTTTTGTATTAGTAAGTGTCAGTGAAACCGGTTCAAATGACATTTTCTTAATTATTTGTAATTAATTAATTTTATATGAACATTAAGAATATATTTATAAATTATATTACAGTTATATTTTGTATATGTACAATATTATAAAATCAAATAATAAAAATATATTTATTATTTTATTGTTTATTATATAATATTATTTAAAAAAATAATATCAAATTTAAAAATAATTTAAAAAATTCCTGTTTTAAAATTTCTTCATAATCTCCTAATTTTTTATTTGAAAAAAACAAAAAATATTAATTTTAATGCGAAGTAAATAAATTTTTTCATTTTAGAAGAAAAAATCTAAAAATAAATTATAAAAAAAATTTATTAATAAATTTATAAAATTTTTATTAAAATTAACGGTACTTAATATCGGTCTCTCTTTATTAGTATGAAGTTATTAAAATAATCTATTTTACATACATATCTACACATCATATTTAAGATGCAAACATGTAAATTACAATGAAAAATTTATTGAAAAACAGTGTTACCAATACTTACAAATCATCAATGTCTTTCTGAATACATATTTGTTTCATGATAACAATTATTAATTGATTTGCCGAATACTTGCCAAATTATTAATTGATTTGATTGGAATTTAAGGAATATTAGAGAATAATATAAGAGAATATTTTTTCGTGTAATTCATACTTTAGGTAGATGTGTTCTTTCTACCCATAATTTCGAAATTACAATTATGTTATTAAACAAATAAGTAACAATTACTACATTTTTGTAAGCTAATCTGTATTCGTATAAATTATATGGTAAAACTTTGTAATTATACGATTAAGCTTGCAAATGTTAATTGATATTTTGTGTAGTACAACACAGTAATTCTTACTTTAAATGTATTACTGCAATTTTAACATCAAAATATTTATGAAAAAATTAACAAATCCCCAATCCATATTATAATATTTACGCAGCAATTAAAATTATTTCACTGAATTAGTTCACGTAACCTTCATCTAATAATGCTATTTGGGACCACCTTCATCTAATAATACTCAATATCTTTTCCTGACTTTTCTATTTCTTTTACGACTGCCTCTAAAGAAATCGAAATGAAGTAAGGAATTCATATAATTTACATAAGACATAGAATTACGAGTTTAAATTCAAACTTGTCACAATATTTCACTATATACAATTATAAATACCTTATAAATTGTTGCATACTTGTTGGCAATTCTTCATTTTTAAATTTTTCCTTTTAAATTATTATAAAATTAATTTAATAATAAACTAAACTATTATGTTAATTGTTATAAATAAAACAACAAAAAAGTGTAATGAAAAAAAAAAAACCAGAAAACAGTAGAAAACACAATCATGTATACAAAGTATAAGACGTAACACTTTTTTTTATATTTTGCATATTCACAGTATATAGTTAATTAAAAGTTCAAAGCTCTCTATATTAATAGGCTTAAAACTATAAAAATGAGAAAGAAAAAAATTATTATTATTACAAGTTTTTCATATAAAAATTATAAAAATCTTGTATTAAGAAGTATAACAAATATATTCGTATTTTTATTATATATTCGTGTATAAATATAGACTAAAATCAATAAAAACTAATTTTACTGTATAAAAATCGAATTAAAAATTTTTTTTTTTTGAAAATGAGGGTGGTTTCAAGGTCAAAGTATTGAATATTTTCAAAAAGCTTTACTATTATAATATCTTATTACTCACATTACGAATTTACTAGTCAAATTTCGAATTTTATTATAATAATTTCTCTTAAGCAATAAAAAATGAAATCGGATCAAATCAACGATTTTTAAAGAAGCACTTTTTCCTTGAACAATTAAAAATATACTGCTTTTACAAACAATTTATTTGTAGATTATTTAAATTACTTTCATTATTATACGAAAAAATTTCAAAAATTGCATACATTGAGGATGAGTAATAATTGAAAGAGAAAATAACATAATGTTCGAATTCTATGGTTAATTGTGTGAGTTAAGATAAATATTTTTATTTTTTGATGACAAGTTGTTTACCGTTAGTTTTTTGCATTTGTAGAAAATTGAAAAACCGTGCAATTTCAGAAATGTAAGGTAACGAATATTCAGATTTTACAAATTTCCAGAAGAAGTAGGTTGAGAGGGGGTGTAGATGGAAACAACCATTTTATTATATCAATGCTCACCTACATTATACAGTAGTAGAAGAATCCGGTGACAACTATTCTGCTTTTGCAGGATTTATTAAATGTTTGTGGTTTCGTTATAAAAAACTGTCAAAAATTTATTTCTATAGTAAGTAAGTTTCTAGTAAAGATCTCTTTCATATAAAATTTCAGTTTTCTATTTTACAAGGTGTAGGATTCTATTTTGTAAACATTTCCACAAACGGACGTACGGACTGACGACCAGAGTAAAACTAATAAGTACTTTTTTCAATTTTTTTTTAGAAAAGCCCAAAAAATTAGATAAAAACAAAGAAAATAATAAAAAGTATTCAAATAATCTCTAAAAAGAAATCATCATTAATTAAATTCTATACATTCTTTATTATTCTCTCATTCTTTCATTATATGTATATACATACATACATACTTATATAATTTGTAGATGTACATGTAAACATCTTATCTATGTATTAAAATAATAATCTTATTCTTAAAATGTTCCTTGACTTTTATAAAATTATAATATTTAGTTTTTTTTTTATAGTTTAAAATATATTTTAATTATATGCAAAAATATAATTAAAAATACATTCAAAAATATTTACACTTGTACATACAATATACATATGTACATAAAATATATGTAGTAGCCATTTATTTAATGTTTTGCATAAATTATTCTAATATATTTTTTTATTATAGAATTATTAATTTATTGTTTTAAAAAATTGATAAAGTATGGGATATTAATTTTCTTTAAAAAAAAAAATAATAATAATAAAAAGTTAAGAAGGGGAAAAACAATGAAATTATAAATTTTTTTTTCTCATCCTCCTCATCTTCATAATCAAAATCACCATAATTATTCTTAAAAATAAAATCAAATTAAGTAATTAAAAATTAAATAATTTTAAAATTAATTAAAAATTTAATATTTCCAAGGTTCAAAATTTTTTTTTTCATTTTAAAAATTTTTACTTTAAAATTTGCTATTTGAATGGGGCTTTCCAAAATTAGAAAAAAAAAACGTGATTCTCTTATTATTTTTGTACAGAGACAGTGAATATATCATTACATAGTAATAGTAATAAATCGTTAAAGCAGTGGTGCTCAACCTTTTTTAAATGGTGGTATCCCCAAATTCACACTCAATACCAAACAATAGGGTCGAAAATCAATAAGACTGCAAGAATGACATCACAAAAATTATTATTTTATAAGTTAAATTTAGAAATATTTTGTTGCAATATGATTGTATACGAGTATAATGTGTTGCAATAACTCATAATAATTGTTGATTTTTATTCATATATAAGAATAAAATTATTAATATAAGGTTCGAGTTCTTTAAAACAATAGTTCGTAATAAAACATAATTCGTTTTTTAACATAAATATTTGAAAAAAAAGGCCAAAAAAAAAAAGCCAAAATATGTATATAACATTTTTTGTGATTTACCTAATTAAAATTCTATATCTCTTCATCACCATTATCAATTTGAATTTCTCATTTGTTCTTGTTAGAAAATGTT